TCCACCTTTCGTTAAGTTAGGTTGCTATCTAWTTTAAATCTTCCCTCTTCCAGTTTAAAACCATTGTCCCTTGCCCTGTCATGACCTGCCCATGTAAAAAGTCCTTCTCTCTCCTTTTTTCACCCCCCTTTAGACACTGAAAGACCTCAGTGAAGTCTCCCCAGRGCCTTCTCTTCTCCCCTACAACCCCAACTCTCTCAGCCTGTCTTTGCAGGTGAGGTGCTTGGCCTTCTCAGCATCTTTCTGRCCTCCTCTGACCCTGCTGTTTGAAAAGAAATATCATCAGCAATTAACTGTCAAGCTCATGTATTTGAAGCCATCATTATTTTAGTTTGTCGGACTCCATTCTATGTAAAATAATCTCCAGTTTGCACTGAGCTATCTCAATCTGCCTGTAAACATTCCTAACTTCTCTTGCAGACCATAATGTTCACAAACACTGCTGTATTATGAGGAAAAGAGAGGAACACAGAGCCACAAAAACAAATTTAAACAGAAATACATAATCCATTTTTTAATCACACTTCAACAGTTTTTGAAAGAGAATTTTTTTTAATATACAACCATCTCTTATTCATTAGCTGGGCCCAGTTTTTCACTTCAGTTTTAATGTGTTTCACAAAGATAAGCAAAGGACAGATTTGAACTTCCTGTCAGGTTCACTGCATATGGTCTCCAAATCCCACGTACTGAGCTGTCCTAACTTCCATTCTGCAGCTGGGGTTCAGTGCAGTGAACTGTGCCTGGGTGACCTGTTATGAATCATTAACAAGAACTTGCTTGTACAGGTACTTCTGGTGAGAAGCRTTAAAATTTAGTCACCTAGAATGAACTACTGTGAATTTAGCTGATGAATCATGTTTCTCCACATCTCCTAAGGAGGGTTATTGTGTATAAAGGTTTAATAGGAATTTATGTACTGCTGATGGTACTTCTGAGGTTTTGATTACTGTTACACCCTCTTGAAGGCCTGATCTGTTAATATAAACAGAATTGTCTGACTGCAGTATAAGAGAGAGATTCATTTAACTTTCTTTGTATTCATTGGTCCAGATCCATAACCATTTTATATGTTTACTCAGTGAATAGTATTGGAGAGCCTAAAGCTTCCTGCTGAGTTCCTGGTGCAACTGCATCCTTTCTGTAGGTGGAGATCATTGTGTGCGGTTTGAGATCTATGCAGATATCCTGATTTGGGCACTGCATGACTACATTCGCTTCTTGGTTTACTATGCCAAACATCAGGAGACTCAGCAGAGTCACACCAAACTGAAGGAGTTTTCAGTTTTCCTCTGTGCATCACAGGACTGCCAAGTATTACTAAATACACCAATAGAGGTACAAAATATGGAAGATTTCATTCAGCTATGATCTTCTTAACCACCTCTTGGGTATCATCAGCAAATTTTTTCTTCCTTCAGATAGTAAGAGGACCACTGGTTTTAGGCTCACTGCGGTGACAGAATTTGTGAATGGAGAATTGTGGAAAATGTAGAATTTCTGGGCTGATGGAATTACTGCAGGATAAATGAGGGAAGGAAACAGAGCCTGTAAGGAACTCAGAACACATGTAGGTATTCATCAGCTGGGGTCCATTTGCATTAGTAATCTGTGCAATGCTTATGTCTGAGGGCACATCTGATAAAATATTTGCCTTCCTAATTACAGTGTGCTACAGATAGGTTCAAGTAGACAAAGATACTTCATTATTGTAATGGAATTTGGAAACAGAAAACCCAAAYATTTAGCTACTAGATCAAGGCTCCTTTAAGTCTCATTTTGTTTATAAGTAAACAATTGCATGTATCAGCTATTCCTTTGTTCACTGAAACAATCTTTAGGCCTACATCAGAGGATGTCAGCTTTAGTTCCTTCCTCTGAATTCTGAGAAGTGCGTGTTTAGTTACCTTATGTTGCTCTGGATCTCGCATGAGAGGAGCATAGATTTACTGTACTTCACTGTATCTTCTTACCCTTCACTTAAGTGACYCTTTTTAACAGCATTTATTCAAGAGTTTAAGGCCTCATAAACTAATGGAAATTTCTTTATGCAAGCATTAAGTAACTAACAAACTGCTGCTGTTGCAATATTTTCCACTATAAAGTATGAGTAACTACATAGTTGTCAGTGAAGATGTGAGAAGAACCAGTAGAAAATTAAGATCTGCAAGTGGACTTTGAGTTCTGTGTTTGTGACATCTTCCAGTCACAAGATCAAAACAGGCACKGAAGTCCTAAGGCCTCATGACAGAGTTCATGCTGGATCTTTCTGCCCCCATCCTCATTATTTACATGTTACAAATCACCTCAGCATGCTTTACCAGAACGTCATTTCAGACAGCCACAATTCCTTGTCCTTTGGAATTGTGGCATTGTGTTAAGAGTTTACTTATTTTGTTTTTTGTTTTTTGTTTTTTTTTTTTGGTAATGTACATTACCAATCTGGATAACAGAAACAAGAAATTATATTTCTGTGCTCTGATGCTTTGAAAAGTTTGGGACACGTCAAAAAAGGGGAAGGCTTATGTTCAATTAGAAAGGAAGTGGGCTCTTATTTCCAGCAGGATTATTATTCCCCCCAAAGAAGAAAGCAATTGAATATAAACAGAATGGTCATTAAAAAAATTATTGTTTGAAGCTGAGGGCTTGTCCAAATTAGAGTTCATAACTTGCCTCCTGCTGTGAGATCGGAACAAACTCAGCAACTAAGAAAATACTTGCAGTGGAAAGCCAAATTAATATTTAGGATGATTGTTCCTTTAGAAGCTGTAGACAAAGTGGTACAGAAGTCTGTGAACAGAAAGAGGATTAATGTAAGAAATTACATGGTCGGACTCCTAGACTGTTAATTTGACAATTATTAACAGCTTTATCAATGTTTGTAGAAAAAGAACTATGAAGGAGGATTCTTTTTGCACTCAGAAACAGTAATCCTTCAGATTGAAGTTTAAGCATTTAGCKTATACATTTCTAAACCAAATTATTTCCTTTTTTTTTTCTTTTTCCTTATTTTCCTTAAGATCTATCTTAATCCACAGCCAAGATTATATTTCCTACCACTTGCTTTAAGACAAGAAATCTTTTCCTTAATAAATATTGAGGCAGAAGAATGATCTCAGGTAAGATGAAYGTTAAAAAGAAGCTTATGGGTTACCACTGTGAATGTAGTTGAACTCATAATAAACGTGATAATAAGTAATACTACATATAGTATTTATTGTCACAGTGATAATTACCAACAACAGCTGCTTATCATCTCTCCGTAAGGGAACCGAGGGTCTGCAGATGTCTCTACATACTATATAGGAGGAAATACTAACTTTTCCATAGTGACCACAGTCCATTTCCATCCTCAGAATCTTTTCATAGCAAGATCCTTGTTTATATGATGGCTGCTTCAGCTCAGTTAACTCTGAACTCTATTCTTCAGTACTTCTGAGCTGCATGTCTCAGCAGCACTCAGTGATATTACATGTAGTTTTGTAAGTTCAGCACTTGTTAATCAAACCTCGTCCACATTCTCTCTACAAAGCAGAGGAAAAAGAAATAGTGATGGAATATTGCTTTTCCTTTGAGAGTGTCTCCACCTGTGTTGCAATAATTGGCAGGAGAACAACTGTCAGTCACTAATGAGCTGCATTATTTTTATTGGCCCTGTTAATAGATCTGCACCTGCTTCATTTCTCTTTGGCTGCCTCTGTGCTCATGCAAGAATTGATGGACATGGTGCATACCAAATACTTCAAGCCAACCATACAGGACTTTGACAACACTGAGAATCAACACCCACAAACTGAAGCAGGAGATGAGCAAATTGTCTATCAATTGGAATAGTGAAGGGCGCCATCACAGATGTGAGTGCTTGGTRCCAACCCAGCAAAGAATACAAGATGTGATTGTCTTTAAATAGAAGGAATACAAGCACACTCCACTTCTTAAAGACACTTCAGGTCCAGTATGAAGTYTGTCTGGTTTTTGCATTGTGTCTTCCATGACTACTGAATAAAAGTTCACATCTTTCTCATTCTTTCCACTGACTATTGCACAAGRCTCCTACAGCATAAACCTTCAAGGTCAGCAGTTCCCTTTCTTGCATCCAGCCCAAAGAAAGATGCTTATCTGTGCAGAAGACAGCCTCAGGCCATAGAATTAGGGACTATCAATCTCACTACCTTGAACTGTAAGGGCACACCAGGTTTTTAAAGATTTATTTCCCCATAAACACACGTGGCATGCACATTGAAGGAAGTCAGAGCAAAATGAACTRCTGTTGAAGTAAAACACATCATTCATAAACAATTGTCTCACCAAGGAAAGAGAGTAAGGAAAAAGTATAACCTGGATGTCCACAGATACCTCAGTGATCCTGGGGTTAAGAAAACGTAACAGCGAAATATGGAGGCTCAGGTACCTATTGCCAGTAGTTAGAGCTTCATGACTTTAATGAAAGCTATGTTTATTTAAATGTCTGAAGTTCTGGGCTTAAACTTCCAACAAGTTGATWAACTGGAAGGTTGCACAGAGAAAAGTTTGAAAGCAGAGTGGTATAATCAAGAGCATCTAGGCCAACAGAGCTCAGTATGCACATGCCCTTAGACAGAGCACACCATTCTCTAAGGCAAATATCAGATAAAGCATATGAGAAAAAACCTGCTAGCTCAGCACTTTTGTAAATAGAGAAGTACCTTCCCCCCTCACTGTGGTTACCACTGTGTTCAGAAAATAATCACTCCTCGGCCCATCCCCCTCCTCTGACTGTACCACTACCTCCAGCTGACTGGGGTGACCGACAAACTGCATAACATGATATTTGAAGTCATTATATTAAAAATACTTTGCTACTACGCACRATAAATGGTTTCCACTTGGAATTAGTCAATAGAGAAATATTTTGGGTACTTTTGCTAAAGGGGTTTTCTTTGCTTGCAGGGTCGTTCAGAAAAAGCTCCCTGAACTTTGAACTGTATCTGCAAAGTGAGATAAACAAGAGCCATATAAATACCACAGCCCTTTTCCCCACACTGTTTTCTTCTGCAGCGGAGCCAGGCAGAGCTGCCAAGAAGGGGGAGGAGGGAAGGGTAAGTGTGCTGGGTTTGCTATGAAAGAGCTTCATGACTTAAGATTTGGCAGAGTGTCTGCTTGTTTCTTTGTGGAAATTTCCATTGGAAACCAAATAGAAAGTTGAAATATGAAGAGAAGTACAAGGCAGGACGTAGCTCTCCTGCAGCTCACAGGGCAGACAGCTGTTGCTTCATGTCACTGCTGCACAGGCTCCTGTAAAGGCAAGCAAGGATATCCAAATGTCTTAAGGGTTTCATGTGCTTGTAAGGGACGTAAAGGCAGGCAGCTCTCCTGATGTGTGAAAGAGTGGAAAAAATGCTGTGTAGATACCTGCTGGACCACAGTGTAGTGTTCAACTACTTTTACCTAGAATATCAAGGAAGAAACATTCTGGACACATGGATTTCACAAATGCAACAACATATTTTAAGGTCAATTATTATTAATTTTTTTAGGATATGACAAGATGGATGGAACATGTATTATTTATCAGAACTTACTGTTTCCAAACTATTAGGTATTCACTGTCAGACTTTGATGTAAGCAGTGAAGTTATACAATTCTACAGCCTAGATAGAATATGTTGGGGAACAGTTTTGTAACTTTATACATTTATATTTTAAATAGTTCTCAATAACCGGTGTTTAAACCCAAAACTGGAATGTTAATGAAATGAAAGGAAGAGATAGTTACAGAATTTCTTATATGCTTTGATTTTAGTACCTGTACTAAGTGTGCATATGAGATTTTGTAAGGTCTGAAGAATCCTGAAACTAAGTTTCAKTTCCAGTTTCTGCCAAATTGTTTCTAGTGCTTGAATCATTGATAGTTTTGTTCAATGGAATCCAAATACTCCAGAYTGACTTGTAAAAAATCTGAAGCATTTTTTATTGTTTTCTGCTGTGTTCTGTAGTACTTGACGTGTACTGAAATCCACTGTTGGTGCGTGTACTTCTAAGTCAGTGAAATTACCCTGGCATCTGGAGTAAAGTGGTCTAGACTCCTCCTGATGTAAACTGGCTTACTACAATTGATTTCAAAACACAAGAAGCAAGGCCACTTTAAAATCAGTGAAGTGATTAAAGCACAGTGTTAAAAACAGTCATGAAGAAATTACAAAGAGGAAGAAATAAATTAATCTGATTAGAAGCATTAAAAAAAAATCCAGTTATTCTGAATGCTTACTTTGCAGCTGTTCAAATACAATAACAAAAATCMAAAAAACCYCAAAACACCACAAAGGAAAAAACATCTGCCTCTATTATGGACGAACTGCCCTGGGAAACCAAAGCAACTGAGTAGTAAACAAAGCGCTCAAATTTATTCTTACAGGGAGGGGTTTGTTTCATTTTTGTTTCGTTTGGGTGGGGTTTGTTTTTTTTTTCAGTGAATGAAGCCAGTATGCTGCTGTGTTTTCTTATGGAAATTACAGAGTGTGAAACTTTATTTAGGCATTGGTCTCATTTTTTTTTTTTGTCCCTCAGGTAAAGCCCAGCCATGTGGGCTGCTCTGGGGCTGGTTCTGGCCCTCTGTCTCCTCCCAGGAGGAGCGACAGAGATCCAGAACTGCCAGGAGCCCCCAGAATGGCGTATTGGGGAGGAGGACCCAATGCTGAACTCCAGAGGCTTGGTGACGGTGGTGGCTCTCCTGCAGGCTAGCTGATCATTGTGCCTGCGGCAGGCTTCCAGGTAAGTGTAAATCTCATCCCAGTTTTTGTTATCCAGYTGAGGATACTGCATGTGCCCTACCACAGACACACTCCATGAACTCTAACTGCCCCAAATTCCACCATTGCAGCTGGCATGTATGACCCAGTGACCAGGCTCACTGTCAACAGAAGGGTTCTGTTCCAGTAAGATTCTTTATCTCTTGACTGACTCCTGACTGACTGATCATCTTCTCCAAATTATATTTACAACATAGTAGTGCGATCGACTTGACATTAAGAAACTGAAACTACATGAATACCTGACAGAAACAGCAACAGATTATTAATGTAGCAAAGACTGTGAAGCCAAAAAACATCACAATCGTCTGACATGTTTTCACTGAAACAGAGAGATTTGGGATCGCGCAAATCTTATGTAAGATCTGTAGGGGAAAAATTAAATCAAAACATGAGCTTTCAACGTGCCTTTTCAGTCTGTTCAGCGATCCTACATATATTTTAAAAATCCAGAAGATAAGGTAAATACTGGCCTTTCAAAAAATTGATGAAGCGTTCAAGGAAGTCATTAGTGTTTTCATATAAGACCTGGTTCTCCAATTTCTAGAACTTACTCCTTGCAAATAATTAGCTATCATGGCAGTAACAATAGTAAGAAAATAATTCCGAGCTGACCCAAACAGGAATTGCATGAAGCTCCTGCCTATGATTAATTTAGTGATTGTGAAATTATTTTTGGTTAAAAATTCATAACACCAGTTTCAGATTTTAATTTTAGTCAGAGTAAGAGCATATTAGTCTGCCCCTCTAGGCTGCACAACTTACATATCATAATAGGCTTTGCAAGTTTGTTAAGAATTGGATTTAAAAACATAGTGGTAAATCTCTGGCTCCATCRAAATTAAAAGTGGGCTTTGCATTTTGCTTTCAAGGTAGTTGGATTTAATTCTTACATTTAAGGAAAATTTTAAGCAATCTTCCACATTCTAGACTATTTTCTGTAACTGAAAAATAGAARTTTTCTAGAGCAGTTCAATAGGAAGGATACAAATGAAAAGGAAGAAACTCCACATCATACAGCTGTAATAAAAGCAAAATTGAGCATGTTAACTTTTGTGGCAAATTGTATGATTCTCTAATGATTTATGGTCTTGCTTCTTTACATTCCCACTAGTTTGGAGGACCTGCGAGTTAAGTTAGAGAATGAAGGATTGTTCAACATCTCGTATGTGGTTGTCAACCATCAGGGAGCTCAATCCCGGAGAGAATTTCACCTACTCAAAGAACGTGTTTCAGATTACATTACCGTCTACCAGCAAGATGAGCAGCAAGATGATGTCTGGACTACTTTAAATGGAAATAAGGATGACTTTCTCATCTATGACAGGTGTGTGCTTGCAGAGGAACACAGGAAAGTGTTTGCATGTATTTTSAGTAATGCTTTGTATATCTCTGTATTATTTAATTGATGTGCAAATAACGAAGACATCATGATCACCTTCTAAGTGGAACTAAGGAAATTGATAGCATTTTCTAGAAAAACAAAGYTACAAAAGCAAAGTCTGCTTTTGCATAAGTAGTTTTGGAATATTTTTTTTTCTTTGTAATTACTGTAGATTTAGATAATTGAGTGTAAAATTTGGTAACATGTTTATGGTTTTATGGTGTATTTGTTTTCAGACAACTTCATTACATCCATGCATGTCAGAGTAGAATGTTTTATTTCATGGAAACATTTCAATGGGAGTTGTTAAAAATGCCATGTAGATATAGGGAAAACTTAATCTTCAGGTGAAATTTAAAAATTCAGAAGGAAATAGCTTTCTGTCAGATATAGGCTTCTGTCAGATATATATTTTAGCAGCACCACTAATAACTGTAATTGAAATCCTGATTTTCCAGTTTTGATGGGATAGTAGTTATTTAAAAAATCCTGCACTTGGAATATGTCTGTCCTAGTTACTTCATATTACTGTAATGAACATTCCAAGTTTATACTGAGCCATAAATAAGCTTAATACAGAATTTAAAAGTTTTTCTGTAATATGATGAAGTTAAACAAATTAGCTACATTAGGTTTGTGGAATGAAACTGGTGGTGGAATAATTTTGAATGTTACAACAGCAAATATGCCCAGGTATGGAAGGTTGATGCCATACAGATAAACAGAACAAGGCTCTATTTAGTCTGCAGAGGGGCACCAAAGCTGATGCATGGTCTCTCTGCATTTGAAAAGTTGACCATTGGAAAGGAGGTTGATCAGTTTCACGCTATCAAAACACAGAGAATGTGTAGATTATGAACTGGTTTAACACTGGTCTGGCTGTGATCTGTTGGGGTTCTAGGAGTCTGTGTCCTTACTGTGCCTTAGCCTCGAAGGCTGTGCCTGCTGCTGGTCCTAGACATGCACTGCAGGCTGGAGGGCTGTGCATTGGCACAGAACGAGCTGCCCTTGTGTACACCTTCTGCGTTTGCTCCAGTTCCTTCTAGAGGACCAGTTGTGTAGTCAAGAGCACATCAGAATKCTCAAGTACAGACACAGAGCAAATAAGCACCAAAAAAATCCCCTCATGCACAATAAATCAGTAGTGCAGGTGCACCACAGGGCCCATTCCAATCAAAATACCGGTTAGGTTGCATAAAAACACTTGGTAAGGATGCAGGAGCCACTAAGCAAACAACCCTTCTCATTAGCCCAGTGCGTCTGCAATGAGTGCACTCTGCTGGTCTTAAGTGCCACTAAATGAGAGGTTTCTGGCAGTGCAGTCACATCAGCCAGAAATCATGCTTCACATACTGGCCAGTGCAGTTGGGTGGGCACACACAGGTAAGGATTTTCCTGTAAACTTAARCAGAAACACTCCCCATGGGATGTACACTGTGGGTGGATTGATGCAAGTAAAATAAGGGATCATAAGAGTGATTTAACTGTAGGTATTTGTAACCACTGAGTTCTTTCTCTCCTTAGATGTGGCCGTCTAGTGTATCATCTGGGTCTGCCCTACTCCTTCCTGCATTTTCAATATGTAGAAGAATCTATTAAGATTGCATACTGTGAAAAYAAGTGTGGAAACTGCTCTTACACGGTATTTTCTTGTCTCATTCTGTGTGTAGTAGTAAAGAAAACTGATATTGACTGATATTTTAAAAAATTTCAGTGTGATTTATCCAAAAATATATGATTTTGAATTTACACATTTCATGTGTCAGAGAGCTTTTAAACATTTTTCCAAGTGAATTAGATTTAATTTATGATAGATTATCTGAATTCCTGTCCTTGACAGAAAAACCAAAAATTGTCAGAAATGTAAATGCARTTTAGAGGGTAATTCTGTTTGTAGACTTATATAGAGCTCGTGAGAAATTAACAACTGTAGCTTCATGAGATGGGTAAGTACATTAAAAAATAATACTTTTGTAAAACCCTGGAATCAAATTCAAGCTGGTTTGAGTTGCTATTCATAGTAGTTTGTGTTTAAGCACAGTCTGCAMTGCAATMGTTATTTTTAAAAAGTGATAATACAAGGTGACAAATTATTGTCTGCAATAAAAGAAGGGTAGCTTTTTTCTAATGCATCATTAAAGATCAGAAGTACTTTTAGGGATTATCAAGAAATACCCATACATAGTYTTGGAATTCAATTAGAGTAATAATTTTTGATTCTATTATGCTGCTTTCCAGCTAAATGTAGACTACAGACAAGTCAGATATGGGACTCAGAATAAGAATACTCATTATTTGCAATTACTGAAATTGTAAAATTGCTAAAGAGCCCTGTCTAGTTATCTCTGGTCTGACAACACAAGGTTATTTTTGATGTGTTCATGCATTCTTCAGCAAAATARCACAAAAAATCTGGATCTTGTGCTGTGCAAAAATGTTAAGATAATTAATATTTTACARCTAGTTTAACTAAATACAATGCCCTGTATTTAATGCAAGCCTGTGTTTTGCAGGAACCTGATATTGATGTTATATGTGAAAACATCACTAAGAAAGCAGGTGAAGAGCTGTCAGAGATAGAAGCCGAGCCAACACATCAGTACTCCCATCACCACCACCGGCACAGACCTGGACACCACCACCACCGCCACCACCGCCACCGCCACCACGTGGGCAGTCGCCATCCCAAACATGAGAACCACCAGGCTGCTTCTGAAAYGGAAGGACAACATCCTCACAGCGCCTGGCGTCACAGGGTTTTTGGCCAACACACACACGATCAGATAGGTAGTCAGGAGCCCATAGACACTGCTCCTCCAGCAGAAATGGTGGAAATTGCACAAGATAAAAAAATACGAAAAAAGGGGAGAAACAGCTGTAAAAACCAGTTAACTTGAAACTGGCTGACAGGATCAGACTCCACCTCCAGTAGCTGATCCTGTCATTGTCGACACCTTTTGTTTGATGAGCTAGGGAATTCTGTCACTTGACAGTGTCGCGGAGCACTACCAAATTCTTGCAGGTGACATGGGCAGCTGGGAGCAGAGGACATCACTGAGTCTTGACAGTGACGTCTGCTCTCTGCTGYCTGACATTCATCACCAGCAAGAGCAAGTGAAACTAGTGACACCTGACAGTGACAGGAAAAGGTGAGAAACTGATCCTGAAAAACAAACTAAGCACCTTCCAGACACAAAGGAGTCCCACYAAGTTCATATAGTTGCAAGAGCGGAAAAATTAAGATTGTTTGTATTGCCCCAAATTAAAAATTATACTGACAGGTGTGTGAAGTTAAAATATTATAAAGAATTTTACTTTCAGAGCAGTGCTCTTAGTATGACAGAACATCTGTCAAATTCCATCAGTGAAAAGCGTAATGATTTAAAGGAATTTAATTGACTCCTARTTTGTTTGTCAGTTCCACCAGGAAGGTGTCTGCATTTTTGATTAATTTGTCTGTCCTGTTTCTCTTCTAACATTCTGCTTGCATTTGTGAAGACAGAAGCATAAACTATGACCTAGGGGCTCCTGTCTGATGTTTTGCAATCAAGAACAGAAGATAACCAAGGCAGATATTTTAATCATTTTTTAYTAAGACAATATCTTTGAAAGTTGAGGTTTGGGGTTTTTTCCCTGACCTGGGGATACAAATCACATACAAGCAAAACTTACTCCTAAGCAATGTGATAGAATAACTTCACATTAAAAATGTAATATACAGGGAGTAACAGCATTATCTTCAAGTAAGAGATTTTTATGCTTAACTTTTGTGGCTTAGGTACAATAAGAGGGTCCATTAATACATAGTGCTACACCTTGTAAAATTCTACTAAATCAGTAAGATCATCCTAAAGTGAGAAGTCGTGTTAACAACTCTGTCAGAATCAAAAATAGGGTGGGATGAAACAAGTTTAATCTTGGTCTAATGTTCATCTTTGCTTATAACAGTGCTGAATTTGGCAAATCTGTATCAATTAGTATGCTAATATACCACTTAAACTTGTATAACTTCTCTGTCTGTAGCCTAGATTTCCTAGTGATTGATTAGCTGAATGGAAGTAAACCCAGTTGTTTGAAKGATTTCTGGATGAAGAAGAGAATATTCATGAAAGACTGCTATGAAAGCATACACCATAATTAATGATGGTTTAATAGGGAAATTGCTACTCCTACAAAACCTGAATCTTTTTATTGTGAATGCTGATTAGCAAGAGAGTAGCCCTGAATATACACAGAATGCATGCCTTTGGAATATCTGACAAGAGTGTTTTCAATAAAAAATATTTTCTTCATGTCTTGTTTTTACTTTGAGATGCAGTTTGAAATACACTGTCTGTACTTCGCACTGTATGTTCTACTGAAATACTTCATGTCATTTACTCAGAATCGCCTCCTTTTCAAGGACAAGTCTGGGCCTTTATTAAGTCGTTGCTCCAAGTCTCTTATGGTGTTTCGGAGGATTTCRATTTCCTTGTTTTTCTCTTCCTGAAGATGCTGCAGCTTCTGTAAAAATGCAAGCCAAGGTTTCATTGTTAAACATCACTTAGAATTACATAACAATACATATGCTATTGTGAGTCAGGAATAGTCTAAAAAGAATATTTTTCTCAGTATTTTGTATGACAAAGTTACTTCCCCAGAATCCTATTTTTGTTCCATTCCAAAGCCTACCAAAAAAAAAACCAAAAAAAAAACCAAACAAACAAAAGAAAAAACGAGAAAAAACCACATATGTAGTTTATATCAGTGTCATTTGTGTCAGTTCTGTCTTAAGTTTCCAGCTTAACAATTTTGTACTTCTCACATGAGGCCTTTTGTTGTTTACCCCCAGCAATATCAATATACCAAGAGCCATGACAGTTGGAGTTGATGATCTTAAAAGCCTTTCCTAAGTTAAATTATTCTATGGTTCTATGAATTCGTTGTGTAGAGCTGGGAGGGGTGTGTGGGAGAGAAAGCCCAGAGAGCTCCTGGATCAAATACCCTGAAACAGTACTCGGTACCTGCGAGCTACAGTCTATGAGAGCACCTACCCTTCGATARATACTTTGTGGCAAGCCAGAAGCTTCTGAAAATGACTTGGTGGTTTTATCCTGAGCTCTTGCCAATTTAGCATTGAACTGAAAGAATCAGGCAGAGACAAAACAGTAGGGATGAACAGGAAAAAAAGGCATGTTAAATA